CAATTGCAAAGAAGCAATGCGGCGAGCATTAAAAAAGGGAAGGCCCACTTTTTACTACAACTGTAAACCGTAACAAAATCCCAAAACAAGGCCTTTGGAGCCCGAAAGGGCAAATTAGCAACAAAATCCCTGGAGGGGCCCTTAAATGATACTAATCATAATAAGATCCTTTGGCAGGGCCTCTGAGTCCAATCCACACCTAAAGGGCCGACAAAATCCAAGAAAAGGGCCTTTGAACGATCAATTAGTAGCGCCTAATATAAGATGGAAAATTAATTATAGCAAATTCTAATTTTCGAATAAAATTCCTTTCTTTTATTCAAACCATGGGGTGCCAAAGAGAACAACTGAGCACTCCAATAAGCCTCTTTTGTGATTAAAAGCCTATCGATCTTTGCAGAGCCACTAGGGGCCTGTACCTGATCAATGCATTGGAACGAAAAATCGTCCAGGGTGTGTGGGGTTTTGTTGAAGTGTATCGCTACTTCACAAGCTGTTTTTTTTGTGAGCATAGTAGATTTGTGATTTCGAAATCTCACTTTAAAAAGTCGGTGGTAGTAGATCCCACGTACGTAGGCGACATTTCTTACAGGAAGCCAAGTAAATCACATTTTTAGAGTCACAGGAAAGTCTAGAGTGAATGGTGTAATTTTTGCCCGTCTGAAAGCTTTCGATAAAGCAAATCGAACAATTCTCGGTACCTAAATCTTGCGGCTTGCTTCAATGAGACTCTTCAAATATTTTGTATATAATGGTAATTTTTTTCTTTCTTTTTTTGCGACTAAAAGGAGCCTTACCAGCTTGGAATGTTCAACCAGCGAACTTCACTTCTGCGGTTCAGGGAGAGAACATAACCCTCAAGTGGGAGTATAATGTAGATGGAACGTTTTCACATGCTCAATTTTCTGATTTGAAGGATGGTGGGAAAGAGAAGACGGTTGCTGCTAAGTCTTCGGAGTCTGGAAACGTAGTCGTTGCCTCTGATTACCAGGAAAGATTCTTCGTGAGTATATCAGACTCACAAACTACAATAAAAATTCTGAGAGCCCAGAAAGCTGACTTCGGAAAATACAAGCTGGAGGTGATAAACAGGAATCTGGCAACAATAAATAGCGTGGTGAAGGTTTCAGTTCACTGTAAGTACTATTGATGCTCAAACTAATAGAAAGACACACAGACACACAGGCAGTTATGTAAAATGAAAGCCCACTCAGTCAATAAGTTCATATTATTTTGTTGTGCTGAACTACAACAACAATATTGTCTCGAACGATAACAAAAATAAAAAATAAAATAATAAATAATAAACCAAGCCCCACATCTCCGATGATAAACCACTGAGCTACAGAAAACTCAATAGTGAGTTAACTGTTTCTAGGTTCATATGTGTGACACTGGTCCAGCAAACCGCTCAGGTCAGCATCATGAAACACTGTGTGCGAGTAAAGGGATTTTAACCTTAAAAGAGTAGAGATGAATTTATGAATTATGATGTTTGGTAAAAATTCAACTTGAATAAGACATACAAAATTCTCACCACTTGTTCCTTTGAAATCCTACAAAGAATTAGAGGCAAGAAAATCTACTATTTGTTTTCATTCTTAGATCCACCAGCCAACACTGTTCTCACAGTATTTCCAGACAGGAGCGAAGTGCTAGGAGGGAGTGTCTTATATGAGAAATGCAGCACAGATGCCAATCCCAGTCCTCATATTTTTCTGTTATACTTCAATGGAAACTTTATTAGAAACAGTAGCTCAGGGGAGTTTAATGTCACCGTTGACAGCGATGGAGTATACACCTGTGCTCCTATTAATACAGTTGGTTCGGGAGACAATGCGTCGTTCAGCGTGACTATTTTTGGTAAGAATCCGTCAGCTTCATTGAGAAGCTTTCTTAACGTATTCAGAAACTACATTATAGACAGAGGCATTATCGCTAAGCCTCTGACACGAATTTTGAGTGAGTTGTTCATCAGAGGGAGATAGTCATATATCTATTTATTGTATATCCAAGGTTTAATCATTGTTGCAGTACTTTTGGTAAATGATGGAAGAGATATGACTCAAAGCTGTGGTTGGCGTAATAATATGACAAAAAAAATCCATTGTGTCTCTGGCCTTCGTACCATCTTATTTTGGCGACCCCTGTCGTCTGTTACGTAACAAGCAGTCTTTGCTGCCTTGTGTTTTCAGATCGTCAGTGAAAGCCATTTAATATGTCTTTTAGTTTAACCTGTAAAACGCTTTGCAATAAAAGAAAAAAAAAACAGTTTAAAAAATCACAGCCTCTTAGCAACTCTCAATTTTCAACATCTACTAGGCAAGCCTATAATAGCTTCGGAGCCCAAAAACGTTACAGCATTGGTAGGTGAGGCCACATCTCTGAGGTGCCTTGCCCATGGCAGTCCTCCGCTAGCTATTACGTGGGCTCGTCATGGCGTTGGAAATGGTTCAGACCTCTTATTTCAATCAGCGAAGTTCTCTGACAGCGGATGGTACAGATGCGTTGCTAAAAATGCTCATGGAGTCTCTTTTAGTTCACTTGCATACCTCGATGTAACCGGTAAGAACGTAAATATGTGCATGACTTAGCCCCTCTTGGATCAAAGTTAGAATCGTTTAAAGCAATTTTTTCCATCCTTTTACTCTTTAGATAGTGCCAGTACTTTCATTAATGGACGGATGACAATAACAAATAAGAATTTCGATAAGAGCTTGGAAAATCCAGCTAGTGCAAGATATCAAACCATTAAAAAGCAGTTTGTTGAGGCCGTAAGTATATGTATGGTTGACGTTAGTGTTAAACGAGAGGCAGGGATTTCAGTGCCATTCGATCGAGTCGTCTCACAATGACATCATACCAGTGATTATTAGGGCGACTACAATCTTAATCAAATACCATCCTAACAGCTAATTTTTGTCTACCCCTTTTTGAGATATTATTTTTATTAGAAAGGACGAACTTCATGAGGTGAGGGGGTCTTATTTTAAACAATACTAGATAGAAGGAAGCGACATGATTACTAATAGCATTAAACCCTTGCAAGAGTTATCATTTTGCAGAAGTAACTTGTTTAGCAGAAAGCCATCGGAGGAAAAAAAAATTGGATGGCATAAGACTAAACTGGAGTTCATATGCCTTAAAATGGCTTCATGGAATGAAATGACAAGCATGTCACAGGTCGAATCGTAGCCTGAGTTCATGGAAAAAGAACGTCTCAGTCTAACGGTGTTTCATTTTCATTGAAAAAGTCTGCCGTACTTGATGAGAAGTCGCATAACCAAGATTTTCTAAAATATTGCCGTTTAACTTACGTATTGTTACTGTTTCGTATTTCGATAATTGTGTATGATTTTTTCACGAAAAGTTTCAATCACAGTTAATATTTAAAATTCAGGTAGAGGTAGTTTTCAAGAGCGACGGCGCCTTCCATAGTACGGATGTCACAAGATTTGAGTAAGTAGCAACCGCACCCTTTTAGTAAACTAACTATCTGTTGTCACCTCACACGATAGCATTCATATATTCATCTATCTACAAATTCCTTCCTTGATCTACCCATCCCTTATTCCTTTCATCCATCTACTCATTCATCCACTCATAAATTCTTCCTCCCATCCTCTTTCCATCCATTCATTTATCAATCCAGCCATCCATACGTACATCCATTCATCCATTCTTCCTTCCTTCCTTACATCCATTCATCCACCCTAAAGTTCCCTCTCTGCCTGCATCCTTTCATCCATATATTCATCAATCCATTCATGTGTGCATCAGATTCGATATCGATCCAGTCTTATTATTAGTCAGACTTAATTTTGACCGTTTACAAAATAAATTCCGTTGAATACTGCTTTCATCAGCAGAAATGGCAGAAAAGGAACTTTGAACATCTATTTCGTGCTCACTTTCAAAGAAGCCGTTCGAACAGACAGAAAAATAGCTCTTTTAAAAATCGCTGCCAGTGACGGAAAACTTGGGGTCTTAGATGTTGATCCAGCCTCTGTAATGGCTATACGTGAGACTGAGGAGCCTGTACTTGAATGTAATTTAGGATGCAGACCGTCGCACTCAATTGAAAGTTTAGGTAATGTTGTCTGTTTGTTTGTAAAGTATTGTGGGACAAGGAAATAATTATAATCGGTTTACTTCCGAGATGCTATTCTCGCATTCAGGTGCATGACGGACCGTGGCCCGACCTATCTGATGTCACAGTTTGCCACAAGAAGGCAGATATCGGACCGAATAACAAGAAACTCCGAACAACTTAATATTCCTTTATTTAAAACCGCTGCTGGTCAGAGATCGTTTCAATATAGGATCATGGTAAAATTATGGAACTCGTTAGACAGTGATTTGAAACTGTGTAAAGACCTAACTAGAACTTTAAGAAAAGCTTAAAATGAAGGATGTTGTTGAGTTTCTTCCAACAAAATAGTTTTAATATCTAGTTTTATATTTTTTTTACTGTACATATATATATTTTATTCTTAAAGGAAAACCTTATTGAAGTGGTCTTGCAAAACTTATGAGGGAGAAACTATTTTAAAAAATGGCTCTGCGATGAAGCTTACGTACCTTGGTCGCAATGTAATCTCTGTTTCATACAAGAAATAATCCATTGGTAAATAGATAGTTACTTGGCGCGTGTAACAAACTAACGTAGAATGACCTCGTTACCTGGGGTAACTGATAAAAGCTAAAGCTGTGGGTTTTTTAAATACAGTGGTTACAAATACAGTTTGTGTGAAAGTTTTCTATTATTTTCCTATGATTAAAAAATGAGCCCTTTGGTAGGCTTAAATCGGTGTTTTCCTGATTTGCTTTGCAGCTTGCTCATGTGAGAACAAAATATTTGGAGCAGTGATAGGAGTTCTTGTATTCATAATCATTGGTCTACTTATCTATATATTCTTCCTGCGCAAAAGATCAGGTAATGATTACATAAAGTGTAGATGAACAGATTACAAACTAAACTGGGAATAGTGCAAGACAGTGAAGTTAATCATCGCCGGATGAAGAATAGCATTATGTAGCCGGAATTAGACATGGCACTCCACATCACAGCGGACTTCACAGTATAGCAGGGACGATTACAATTTATTGTTTTACCACTCCGAAGAACCTTACACTTTTCTAATAGACAAAACTTAAAAAAAGGCAGTAGATTTTTGCAGAAGTTTCTTTCTTAAGTGAAAGCAATGGAGCATTTAGTACTTTGATTGTTTGTGTTACCTTTCTTTCTATTGTGTTGGAATAAGCCTATACCTAGTGGTTTTAGCCCTATAATGCTTAAAGGTGGCTCAACCTCAGCCATATTCAAAGAATGGATGCTACTTTTTGAACGAAGGTTGTATCTAATTTAGAGTTGCATAGAGTCTTTTAATTTTTTTTTTTCGATTTAATTACTTCTCAGCCGTAGCATTGAATATTAATGAAACAAAAAAAAGCTTGAAATAGATATATTGTTTGTTGTAACAGATCATTTTTCTTCATTTTAGAAATTGAATCCAAGGAAAGGTAAGCAAAAACTTTGTGAGCTATCGTTATGTTTCTTAATTGCAGATGATAATTTTTTTTTTAATTTGCTTTTTAACAACGTTTCGTTCACCCTATTCAGGATGTAATGATTTTTAAAAAAAAAAAACCCACTATTTTTTTTCCTTAATACCATGCGGAAAAATACAACGCAACCTTGAGTTTGTAAATAATTTCGATGATTTTCTCAAGTATTTGGAGAAAGTATGAAATATTTGCTACAAAATAGTTTTGTAAACCAAGATGATAACAAAAATCGATGTATCAGAAAGGCGCACCTTTGTCTCTACTTTCTCTCAAGGAGTTGCGAAATGGTGAAAGTGGAAACTCAGCCCAGACCTCCAAGCGTAAGTTGAATATTACAGTCATATCTAACTTCAAAGAAAATTTAAAGGATCTCTCACTTTCACATTTTCCGCATACAACTAACCCTCTGTAAGAGGTAGGTAGGCTGGGAATGTGAATATCACCCATCAGAACATAATTAAAGATACTGACTGCTTGAGGAAGGATTGTGAAAAAAGAGTTGAATTTCTGTGTAAAAACGATTTATTAGTTACTACTGCTCTGTGAACTCTTGCAAAAAAGAAAATAATTTGTACAGGTGCATACCAATATTCTTCAATTTTCTATAGAAGCTTGGAAAACATTTCCACTTTTTTGGCATAGCTAAACGTAATGTTGGTAAAACTTGCTTAAAACTCGACATGAACGCCTCAGTTATAGACTGTATATGCCCTGTTTTTCACCACTCAACATTCGTTGCTGGTACATTTTAGATTCTAATGAACAGCTTTACAGTTTCTAAGCTCTGAAAAATTTTGATGACGCCCAGATTGTCAGTGTGGAATCCAGCTACCTTACATCGTGTAATCAACCTCTTCAATAACGTTGTATTTCCTCTTCTTTGCAAGTATGAAATTACCCTTACTGGAGTTAAACAAGTTGAAATACAGGCCGAGTGCACAGTCGCAGAAGAATCTGTTGGTGAAACACCGGAAATAGAAGCCGATGCTGAGCCAATAGATACTTGAATTGTTGGATACGAGATGGCCCTGCCGGTCATCAAATCATCTTGGAAAGTTCCTCGAGAAAATGTAACTGTTAGAGAAATAATAGGCAAGGGAGCCTTTTCTCAAGTGGCCAGGGGAACAGTTACAAATCTCCAAGGGGCTTCCAAATTAACCGTAGTTGCAGTTAAAATGCTTAAAGGTAGAAACTGTCCCTTTTTAAATCCATGCACAAATTTTTAAACACTTTCCTCGCCTTTACATACTACCTAGCATATATTCGTTTTGGGAATGTAATATGAACCTTTTATATAAATTTCAAGTCGAAGACCTTTTTCTTGTCACCGGCATGCATGGCCGAGGGAAAACAGCGAGAGTATTTTCCCATACAGCCAGGAAACCTTCTTCAATTCGCACTGTCACGCTATCATCAAACCAAGATAAAGTTTAGAACCAAAGAGACAAAAGAAGATGAATTTGCGAACAGTCTCGCAAAGATGTATGATGTATTACATCATACTGTAAATATTTTGTTCATCTACAGTATGATTGTTTTGCGTCATATACGGTAAATATTTTATTCATCTACCTGTATGTTATATAATTACTCACGTTCAGTTACTCATTGATTGAAGATGGCATAAGCATGCCGAAACATGTCTCTCAAAAAATTTGTCTATTTCTTACAATATTTATCATACTTGCTACTACTACGAGGCTATGGAAATATCTAAGCTGTCCTGAAAGAAAAGGATCTTTATAGACAATTATTTCATATAAAAAGTGAGAAAGAGAGTCACTGATTATGTATCAATACGCACATTTCCCGTGAAGCCGTTGGGTTTCACCACATTTGAGGTGAAAATGTTTTTGCAATCGAGTATACTTTTGTCTCCGACCTATCTACACACTTTTTTCCACTCTTGATTAACAGAAGACGCTCCTGCCTCAGATAGAAAGGATCTGCTGTCGGAGCTTGACCTAATGCAGCAACTCAAACCTCATCCATATGTCATCAAACTTCTAGGATTTGTCGCAGGTAGAGTAAAAAATAAAAACCTCCATGTGCAAGACAGACGTGGAGTTCTCAAATGGTTACATCTTTTAAAATTTATTTTTCCATTGATAGAACCGTTATTGGTGTTGACTGAGTATGTTCCATTTGGAGACCTGCTCGGTTATTTACGAAAAAGCCGAGGACTAAACGACGCTTACTACAGCAACTCGAAGGTAAAAGCAGAAACCAGTTTGAAGGCGGATAAACTGATGAAGTTTGCCTGGCAAATTGCAGATGGAATGAGCTACTTGTCCTCTAAATTTGTAAGTTAGTAAACTGCGTGTCGTTCATTTATTGTTATATCTAATTCTTCTACAGTCGATCTGCGTTAGCTCGAGCACCCCCCTCACCTCTACTAAAGTCGAACTGCGCTACCTCGATCCCCCCCTCACCTTCCCCAAAATCTGGCAAGATCTAATTCCCCTCACATTTGACCCCATTTTTCCAGTCATTTATTTGAAGGCAGGTGATTGATTTCAGTTTACCGGAAGGGTTTGTAAACATTAGATTTAATCTCAAAGTTAATCATCCTCTTTGCCCAGCAAATAAAACAGCTCTTTCAAGCCGGTTGGTGCACTGGCTGTTTTATGATTCATCACGAAGCTATACAGGAGATGGGTTACCACTGTGATTATGCATCCTATTTTAGTTCAAGAATTTGGCCTTTTTTATCTTTTGGAGCAGATAATTCATCGAGACTTGGCCGCACGCAAAGTGTTGGTAGGAGAAAATGAGACCTGTAAGGTGACAGACTTTGGAATGGCTAGAGACGTTAAGCAAGACAGTATATATGAAATGAAAGCTACGGTACACTCGATTAGCATGTAATTTGTTATCTTTACTTGAACAGACAGTCACCTAAATCCAGGATAACTTAATGTAAAACACTGTAGAGGCAAGGTAAAGCTTTTAAACGAGCCAAGTGGCCTATCAAGCGGTGGGCGCTTATCTCCGGAAGAACGCGGACAGTATTGTTGGCAGTAAACACCTATTGTAATGTGCTCGTTATCTTCACGGCATGGAGAGCAGGCACTACCCGATAAAAAATAAATAAATAGATAAATAAAGAGTGATTTTTTTCCTGTCCCCTTTCATTTTTTCCAGAAGCCACAGTAAACTTTTTTTATTGTCAGCAACTTTTTACAGATTTCAAATATCAAATGACTAGGTACCTAAATATAAAGAAGGATCCTCTAATGCTAAACCTCTAATACTACAATGTATCAGTGACACGGCAGCTTTTAAGGAGACATCTACTACACGTAAATAATGATATGAAAATTGCGTGAAAATAACAATGGCGAGATCGGAACCACATCTGTTGATCATCACTAGAAACATCAATTACCTGAAAGAATAACAGTTGAAAAGGAGGGAGAACAGATAAATACATCAACAACAGAATGAAGAGGAAGCTTTTCCCAATATCCTGGGTACTAAAGGACAAAATCAAGTAACTTGATCGAGTGTGGCTGGCTGATTAACGCAAGATGCAGATTACGATACAAATTGCTAAAAAAAATTCTTTAAACTTTAGGGGCGACTTCCTCTTAAGTGGACTGCTTACGAATCGCTTTGCTATGGGATGTATACCACCAAGAGCGATGTGTAAGTAGTAAGAAATTTTTACTTGAAAATACATCAACTGTTCGAAGACATAATATTAAACATTGTTTCACTACCGAGTAGGTATAACATTGACAGCATTGGGCTCAATTTTAATGTGCTCACTATCTTTGAAATATTTTCTGCGATTTGAATTCAAGTATATATATGTATTGCGAGAAGCACAAAAGTCTTCTTAAATGAGCCACATACTAGGCCTCACTTTGGCATTAAGGTACAATTTTTTTTTTCCTTAAAAATAATACCAGAGTTAATCTAGCTAAGAAAGTAAAACAAAATGCCCATTATCTTACAGATGGAGTTACGGGATTGTCCTATATGAAATCTTTACACTGGGTAAGATTTTTCAATTGATGCCCTGGGTGCGATGGAACTTATGTGACTGGCAGTTTTGTTTTGCTTGGTTTCATTTTAGGCCAATAATTAACGAAGCTGTCACTGAGCCGTGGAGCCGTGAGCGCATCTTATCAGGTGTTGAGTGTAACGAGACCCACTAATCTCAGACAAAATTACAGTACTTGGAAATAGGAAGTGAGACTGCCTGTCCGTTAAAAATGACAATTTTATCGGATAATGATGTATCTTAATAATTCTTTGTGGCTACATATATCGAGAAGGGTCATTAAATCCAATCAGTAATAAATGGTAGCATATGTTATGTTTCATATATGCATTATATAGTTCGTTCAAAACGTACCTTTAAAATGTACCTAAAGTCAGCGAATATTTTACTAAAAACTGTATTTTGAATTTCTTATCACTTAAAGGTGGAACGCCATATCCCGATATGAAAGGAAAAACGGTTCCAGATTGGCTCAAGCTTGGATACAGGATGCCAAAACCAGTACACATCGACGACAAATTGTAATGATATCTTTATATTTTACAACGGTTTAGAAAAACGCATGATCACCTAAATATGAACCTGAAACCCTCCTAGTGTTCCTCCTTTCGCAACCTCGCGGCGCTCATCAGATCGACTGCAGCAGCTTACTCTAATACAATTCATAGTAACTTACTATTCATTACTTCAATGTCTCTCTTTTCACGATGAGAACCAATAAAGTTACCAATGCGATTGTAACATCCAACATAAATTTCTTCTTTTTCCTAGGTATCAAGTTATGTTAGAATGCTGGCAATTCGATGCGAGGGATAGACCTACATTTTCTGACCTTACAAAGAAAATTAAAAAGATGGAAAATCAGCGCAAGGTATCAATCTGTACTATAAGAGCATTGTTGCTACAGACATTAGGAAATAAGTTTCAATTTTTTCCATGATGTTTACACTGTACGTTTTTGAAGTCTGATGGATTGGTCAAAATACTCATTTGGCCCTCGATATGCACAATGTGTGTCTGACAGGGTTCATAGGACAATTCTGATTGGAGTGCAGCATAATGTGACAGTAGAGTAAAATAAAAGCCAGTATTTAACGATATCCCAGCTATACTCCACCGTTTATTTGTATTTTTCGACTTTTTTGCCCTCTTCATTTTCAGAGGCTTATCCACATGACGAAGTATGACAAGACACTGTATGTAAACGTTGATGATTCATTTGTCTAGTATAAAGACGATGCACTCTTTCAAGAAGAAAACGCAAAAAGAAAAACATGACTCATCAGTTCGGAAGAACAAGCGAACAATTCAATGGATAATCATAGGGGTAATCATCCTATTAAAATCGTTTGTATGGTAGACTTACTATACATGATTTTTTGTGAGTTTTATTTCATTTAAAAGTGACTTGTTACCTCTCCTAGCTTTTCCACTTATCACGACTCACCGACATTGGTTGGTTACCAACGTAACCTAGCCTCGTGTTAGTTCAGCGTTTTTTCGACAACCATAATTTACTTTTTGTGATGGAACTATTTCATCATGGAAAAAAAAAACTTGTTTTCGATACAAAAGCTCGGACTTTATTGATTCGACTACAGACATCATTTAAAAAACAATTATCGCAGCCGAAGTTGTGTTTCAGGTCGCCACATTGAGCATATCATCCTTTGTAGTACATTTATACAACACAAAAAAAAAATGATTGAAGTCTCTTTTTAATACAATTAGCAAAGGCATTTGAGCCTGTAGTGAGATTTGATTGTATGCATGTACTTGAAACCCTTCGCTCACCACGGAAAGCATTAAAATGAATTTACCTAGGAAATTACACTTGGGTCTGGGCACGTGGTACTCCAGTAAAAATTTGACGAGAACCTGACGAACTCTCAATTTTATCAAGGATAAAAAAAGATTCCTTTTTATTCACGATGCTATGCTTTCGTACCTCAAAATGACAAGTCTTATTGAAAGGTAATTTTTTTTTTGTTTTGGTCCATTAATTTATGAACGTTTTTATTCATATACCATTTTCTGAGGCCAACTCCAATTTTTTATCATAATTTCTTTTAAATCTCAAAACGTAATATAAGGTAAAGTCGTTTCTTGCTGTCTTGTTAATGATACATGTCCATATTATTGATTAATAAACCCTCGCTGAAAACAATGGCGTGCTACACTTCTATCCTTATAATGTAGAAAGAAAAGATCGCAGCTGCAACTGTTATCAGTTGAATAAATTGTATTCAATGTTTAACTTAAGACTTTTTTAAAAGCTCCTCAGGGATTCTTATGAGTTCAGAGTAGATTTAGGAACTACACAATTATTTTCTTTTTAACAGAGGGTTTTTTCTTTGGAATAGTGTTTCAAAAAGAAAAGTAGAATTACTACAGATAGTTGTATACACTGAGGTTAAGTCACTCCTGGTTTTTTTCAAACTACTCTGCTCATAATACTATTAGGCAGCATGGAGTCATTGAAGAGTCATTTCGAATTTATTTTCTCAGTGATACGGTAGAAGTAGCGAAGGCGTCGCGAAGACGATTGCTTCTCAAGTCCAAAGTTAATAGAGTCTTTTAACTTGTATTGCCACAACAATAGCTGCCGCACAGTCGTCAGTTATACAATTGAACGAGAAACACAAATTGATCAAAGTATTGTTGAGTTTGATTACTTCAGCAATCGATCGATGAAGCACCTTCATTACTGATACGATACCTCCACAGATTCAAAGTGTGTAATCTTCTTCAGTTTGATTGCCTTGGCAATAGATGTAGCACCGTCATCACTAATAAAATTCTCCGAAAAATTAGAATTGGTCACAGTCTTGTTGACTATGATTGCCTCAGCAACAGATGAAGCTCCGTCATCACCAATACGATTTTTCCGCAAATTCAAACTATTCTGGGGTAATTTCTTTGCTTTGAATTAGGGAACAAAATGGAATGCTGCAATGCATTCTTGGTAACTTTTTGTAGAAGAACAGTTGTGTGAAATGCGAAGGTCCAATTCTCAATGACCAGTAGATGCTGGCCTAAGCCTGATTTATGGAAAGAATCTACACTTACGGTAGACTGCTGAGGCAATTCCAGAATTGTATCTCGATTACTCGTTAAAGTGAAAAACTATTAACATGAGAGGATGACCAAGTTGTTATAGGCATGGCATGTTGACTACCTTTCAAGCGGTACTATTCCCTAAGGTTAAGCATCAGACTACTAAACAGGCCACAATTGTCAGTTTTATCGTAGACTGGACCTGCATTTCATCCTTCCTTTCTCCCTTTGGGACTATCAATGTGTACAGCTTTTCCATAACCTGTGTCAATTCGCTGTTCATCTTTGCAAGGTTAATTCCCACTTATATCTAATCAGCTCTAGTGCGCCTTTCATGGTTTCTGAAGATAACCATCATTGGAACTTATGATCTCGTTGATAAATATAAATTCTAACTCAAGTTATTCAGCAAAAACTAAAGAAAACCATTCCACTTTTTATATCACCTGGTTTGATCATAGGAAAAGCCATAGACAGAAAACTAAAACACAATGTAACTCTTAATTCATTTCCTCAACATTTGCGCTATTTCTTCCCACATATAAAGAGTATAAGGTTCCACGTAAGTAATTAGTTCCCGACTACGCGTATATGGCCAAACCACTCTGTAACGTGGAAAATGAAAATTAATTCATTTTAGGAACCTCTACTTTCCATCTCTTCGAGTTTGTCCCTGATGCCGTCGTCGTCTTTTTTCCATTGTTTCCTTTGTGCACGATAATCTTCCACAATATCAGGATTGATGCAGTCGTGCTCAGCGTTGTTGATAGTAGCTTGAAAACTAGATCCTCCCAGCCTCACCAGAGCGTCTCGTATTTCTGTCCAGAAATAACTGAGACTGGCGCCATCTATGGCTGCTTGAGAGGCATGGTCGTATGCAGTGTTCCTGTAATACCTTACTCCGGCAATATCATCGGCGGCGCTTGTGATCAATTTGCAGCTGGGGGGAGGTAACCTCAACCAGTGGAAGGAGGGCTCAATCCACATACATTTCTGAACAACACCGCAAAAGTGTGATATCAAAGGTCGCCAATGACACAGGTGAATGAGCAGGATAAAGCTTTCCCCAATGAGTAGGACTCAGCACTCTCCTCTTTCCTCTGTACATTGATTGCATTGTGGCAAAGTGCATAGAGGGTTTTCCCAAAACTGGAGGTAAAGTTGCTGGTAGATGTATTTTGTCAAATGTGAACCTCAATACCCGAGATCCAATATCCATCAGGAGGAGGCATAGTCTTGCAGAATTAGTGGACTTTTTCGTAAAAGAAAATGGCGGCGGAGCTGCAGCTATAGAGTTGGCACTTAAAGTGCACCTAAACCCAAAAATTTTTTTTCGCTTAACGAAATAAGCGTATTTTTTGGAGTATTTCTGTGCAAAAATTTTTTTATTTGCTCAAATCTTCAATTGTCTGTGCCCAGTCAAAATACGGAAAATCGGCCGCCATCTTGTCCCGCGGCCGAGTTTAAAGAGGAATGGCTCTAGCGGGTAATGTGACGTCAAATCGAGAACACGAAAGTCTGCATTTCACACATTTTCGCTTGTTTGGGAAGGTTGTAGTCGATTTTGTCCGAAAATATGCCGACTAAGTGTGTTATAGGAGGATGTAGCAACGTGCGAAATTTGCAAGAGGGTATCACGCTTCATACATTCCTCAGACAATACACCTGGTCGGCATATTTCGGACAATATCGACCACAACCTTCCCAAACAAGTGAAAATGTGTGAAAAGCAGACTTTCGTGTTTTCTCGATTTGACGTCACATTATCCGCTAGAGCTCTTCCTCTTTAAACTCGGTCGTGGGGCAAGATGGCGGCCGATTTTCTGTATTTTGACTAGGCACAGAAAATTTAAGATTTAAGCAAATTAAAAAATTTTTGCACAGAAATACTCCAAAAAATAAGCTTATTTCGTTAAGCGAAAAAAAAAAAATTTGGGTTTAGGGGCACTTTAAGGAGCAGCCTATTACGCAAATTAGTTGTGTCAGACACAATGAAGATAAATAAAAACGTGGGATTGTAAGGTTCCTTTTTCTCTTCGTAACACTTGGAAGGCCGCAGAAATGTTTTTTTGGCAGCTTTGGACGAGTTTTTCAAAAAGGGATTTTACATCAAATCGCCTACCATCGATAAGCATAAGGATATAATTCAGACAAAAAGCGGTGTATATGAAACAAATTACTAGAACGTTGAACTTTGTAAGGAATTTTTGTGTCCTTTCGCGTCCGTTAGAAAAACTCCCCAGTGGAATGTCTGCACCTTTATTTTAAGAATGGAGTCGGGATAGAAATGACATTCTTCTGGAAAATGAGCATTCATCAGCTATGTTCTGTTCTTCCCAAAATCTACCCTTAGAAAGTTTCACTGCACGAAAGAACGGATTTACCTAGGTATCAAAAATAAGGCAAAACTGTGGTAAATGCCATATTTGCTAAGATTTGCACACCTTTATTTTTGAGCAAATATTACTTACGCGCAAGATTTGCTCACCCTGGCAAAGCTCGTAAATGCCACATTTGTATTTGATTTTGACTGCTTTGCAAAAGTGAAGTGCAACCATAAAATTGACAAATATTTGCGGTTGAAGCAAATTCCAGGTCAAATTTGTTGGTATGAGCACTTTTGTCCTCGTAGCAAAGATGTGCAAAGTCTTGGTATTGAACTCGTTTGCTCCACATGGCAAAACAGGTCAAAACTGTGCAATTACCAGTATTTTGCTTTGCCAGGTAAAAGGCCACCAAACTCCTTAAATTGCACATATTAGTTAGGGCAGTAAATGTGTCCAAAGAATTGTCACTACTAACACTTGGTCTTGGCCACAAAATCGATCAAAGGCTCAGAAATGAGCAAATTTACTATGTGGGACAAATTAATGTAATTACTCAAATTTTCTTTGATTCTGCTGGGTACAGGAAAGGTTATCAATGCTTCAGAATCACGCATTTGCTCATGTTTCAAAAAATTATTAAAACATATTGGATATGAGATGATAGATAGCCAACGAGGCGCGTAGCCGAGTTGGCTATAATTATTTCATATCCAACAAGCGCGAGTAATAATCGTTTTATTAAAATAAAAAAAAAAAAAAAAAAAAAAAAAAAAAAAAAAAAAAACGCTCCTAAGATATTAGACAAATCTTCTCGACTTTATTTTGTAAGAAGAAACCGGATGTTACAATGTACAGATATTAGATTATGGTATATTGGCTCACATACCATGACGGCTAAGCCAATAAAAAGTCTTGAATCGCTTTATCCAACGATCCAGTTTTTAATAAATGCGTTTATTGCTCATGTTTTCCACAGCGCGTTTAAGAATGTCAAATTTCAGGTTTGCCTAGCCAATAGTTTTGTTTGGTTTCGCTTTGTTCTACATCACAAAGGAAAAAATAGATCGCTCGTTTGTTTCCGCTGCAAACATAATTGTAATCTTGACGATCGTACCTGGAGGTAATAAGTGGGATAAATAAGTGGTTAAGGAGCCACAAAACAAAACGAATTCACGATCAGCAGAGCTGGCGCAGCATTTCGCGAGCCAGTCGGCGTAGATATTGTGGAACAATATCCTCCAGAAAAGTTTGGTCTTCTGACTGGTGTCTCGTCCATTTCGAGCTCCGCAGTGGCTGATAATGTTGAAGTTCCAGAAACGTCAAGGGCTGGAATGCATTCAGTTCGTCCCCGCGAGTGGCACAGGCAAAATATTTCTTCGTTTGCTCGGATGATTTGGTAGTAAACGTGCCATTTTCCAAGATGATCAGTTTCTGTACTCGCTTCAACGGAAAAATACAAACCGCCTAAATTCAAATCTAGACAAACTATCCCTGCAGCTGTCAACAGCTGAAATGTCCACCAATAATATGTGATTGTACTGATCAGCGGTCAAAACCCCCCATACATGACGTACCTACAAAGAATAATATTAGGGGGAAGGCGGGAAACCTCCGAGGATTGCCTTTGTGGTGAAATATCCTTTTTGCTCTAGTCGTCATGGGCAAAAGAAAATTGTGAAAACACAAAGAATGAGGCAAGACGTATGACCTGGGAAAGGAAGAAGCGACAAAGTCAAGAAATACGACAACATGAGGAAAAGGTAGTTGTGTCGGCGTTACAGATCGAGAAGGATTGCTTCAAAAGACATTGAGAAAAGAAAAACATTCTTCTGTAAAACTACAAAGACTTGTGCAAAAATAACAGACAGAGAGCTACCGATTAGCTTGATTTTTTTAATCGTTTCATTAACTTATTATAAGCCCAACATTTACGATGATAAACCTTATAATAAGTTGTCAACTTCTCAATTTGGTCTTCAGTCAGTTTGCTCGATATGTGATTCCAATTGAATATATCGTTTTTCTTCACAGTTATATAAATATTAGATAGATTAATCTTGTTTTGTGATCATGATATGACTGTAATCTAATCCATCGAAAAGCGTATTACTCATTATCTGTCTCCAATGTAAGCGATGTGTTTGCTTGGAAAAACATTACTTTGTTGGCTATTGTCACCCAAGAATTTTTAGTGTTTGGAAGTACAATCGTGATGCCGTTGCCAGTAGACATGAATGGTTTATCCACAACGAACTTGAGATGTGACAAATGCGCACTTTCCACGCCATCGATGAATGTGACAAGGTACAGCACAAACCAGCATTATTGACTATTAGTTTTGTGTTATCGCTTGAATTCACTGTAAAATCAACATTACTGCTCTGGGACACCTTGGTGTTATATTCCGATGTTCCATTAAAGTAAATCGATAC